GTTGCTGTGTCGGCCGGTTCAGAGAAAGATCATAGATCCGGCCTTGTCGGTAGTCCATGGAATATCAAGGTTTTCACCAGGAGGCTGTCTAAGGATCAGATATCCCGTCCTAGGTGTACCGAGTTACAATGTCCCCGATGGAAGGTATGCGAGGAAGAAAAGAAAACATCCATTCACTAGAATCTATTATAAATAGCATTCCTTCCCCCTCATCACTCAAACACTTTCAATGACGAATGAAGAGGGCAGGATCGCTGATGTCCTTGAGCTTGATCTCATCGATAATAGGTCCTCCATAAGATGGGCCTGCGAAGTCCGATAGTGAGAAGACAGGAGACGATGGAGAATGACAATTTCTGGCTCGTACGCGTCAACAAACCATTTCAAGGGACTTAATATCCCAAAAAGGTCGACCTAAAACAAACAGAACACATGAACTGCACAAAGAAAATTGACAAAAAAACGTTTGTTATCGAACCAGCATATCCAAACTGAACGTCGAAGACACGACTGAGAATGAACAGCGCCTTCTAACGGTGGATCCCGGGCAACGATCGCTAACCATCCCAATTTGACTGGTGTTGTTGGGAGACGAGGAAGATTAATCTCGTTCGGCTGAGAGATGCAACCAGCAGAGTGTTACCCATCATTCTATCAGCATATGTCGAAGAAGTGATCAGTAAGCAACTGTTCACTAACGCCAGCGAATCCGAGCTCGAAGCATCGACGGGTCAGGACACCCTTCTCCTTGGACATCTACTTACAAGATCCCATGTGTATGACTCTGGAACATAGCCGCAGTGATGGCATTCGAAAGTGCTTTTGAGGGAAGGCGAGAAAGGGCTGACGTGATGTCAAGAACCCGATGACATTAACGTGATGCACTTCCGCATATGAGCGAATGTCATCGCAGTCACGAGAAGGGGTCGCGAAAACGTCGGATGTGAATTGAGAAAGAAGGTACCAGAAATTGAGTCGATCTAGAATTCAGAGAAGATTGAATTAGAAATTGGAATCAAAAGTATAGTAGTGCAAGATCAGGGGTTCGAAAGGTGGAGGGGCTCGAGATAAGGCACGAGCGACCCCGGACTGTGTCTCTTGCAGTCGGAATGAGATTTGAGCCTAGTCTAGACGAGTGACACCCAGAAAGACTAATGTCTCTACATTTCATGGCAAAGGATGTCTTTTAGTGTCGGCACCGTTTGTGAGACATGATGAATATGCCGGAACACTCGAAGTGATCGACGGTCGACCGCACTTTGGATGAGTTTGAAAAAATCGTCAGAGGGGGATCCGAACCCACACTGGCGCCTCGGCCTCGGCCTCGGAAACGCGACTGTTTGGACGGGTACGGTTGAAAAAGACAGAGTTCAGCCCTAACGCACGAGGATGCTCTAGTTATATATAATTGTGTTTCCATAGCGATAAGGCGAGATGGCCGAGCGGTCTAAGGCGCCAGACTAAGGCCAAAGCAGTTTCTGCTTATGTAATCTGGTCTCTTTCGAGGCGTGGGTTCGAATCCCACTTTCGTCACTCTTTTTTATTCCATTCTTTTATGCATCCTACGAGCCGGAGGAACGGCCGGAAGGAAGGTGGGGGAGGAGGAGAAGATCTGGTGGTGCTGGAGATTAACAAGTGCAAACAACTGGTCAGGCAGCTTGGAGCTGTCCTTGGACAAGTCTTGGGCTTCTTGGCCTGTACCAAGGAGTACTCTTTGCAAATTCTCCTGTCAGAAGTTCCAACATTTGTTACTCGGTACCCACTGGCTTACGTCTTATTTTGCATCGATATCTTGGCTTGAAAAAAGTGCAGTTTTCGCCCAGTCGGTTTACATTAGAAATATATACAGTTCTCTTTGACATGATAATTTTCGTTCACTGTCTGCCGTTACTGGTACAGCCGATTAGTAAAAGGGACAGGGGATTTATGCACGAAGCCAAGAATGCATGGCGCTTAACTGGGCGTTAAAGCGGCCCTAGAAGAAGCCTCCAGCTGTCGAAAACCATGCAGACAGCGACCAAAACTGACGGCCCTCCGAGGACGGAACGGAATGCCATTGGTCGCAAAGAGTGGCAAAGTTCCCACAAGCTCGTCATCCACCGGTGCCAAGCAGCCAAGTATCAACCCAAGACAGCACCGTTTATAGAGAGCCATGTATAAATATAATTGAAGACCCGATGAGGATTTTTCTCAGAGATTTACCATTGAATCCAACTCATCGCGCTCGCCGTTGGGACCGTTGTCGACGATTTCTTGGACACCATCAGAACCCTGAGACATGACATCGGGAGATCAGTTGCCAGCAGCCATCGTCGCTTCGGATCCTAAAAACCAACTTTCATCTAATGCTGCATTATCTTCTGCATCTTCCAACACGATGAGCAACAAGGAGGATGTTGAGCGCGGGTCGCCATCGTCGTCGGTCTCGTTCTGGTCTTATCTCAACTCGGAAGTAGACCCGGCCCAGTCTACAGGCCCGTTGGCGGCGTTCTGCTTCATGACAGGGTACATGTACGTTGATAATCCACTTTTTCAACGCGCACACAAGTTACTCATGCACTGTACCCACTTTCCAGAGATGTCATTTCGTTCTCTTCTATATTCGTCTGGTGCGGTTTCCAAACAGGAAACTTTGCACAGGTGTGTTCCGGAGAATACGTTAAATTTAGTTCACTTACACGTTATCGTATACAGTTGGCCATAGCTCTTGGACGTCTTTTCGAGGGCCCAATAGGATTCAGAGACATGACGTTCCACCGAGCTGATCAGCAAGCTCTATGTTCGCTCATCTCCTTTCAACTGGGCGCTTCGGTCGGTCGCTTGGGCGACCGAATGGGCCCATTGAAGCGCACCTGGCTCATTATCGGGACTTTTCTCCAAGTTCTGCTCACTATGGGCGCGGCAGTAACCCTATGGCAAAGTGGGGAACTCAGCATTTCCAACGCGAGGGACGATCCGAGTTGGAACAACGCCTTGTCGTTCGTTGCACTTGCGTTCATGAGTGCAAGTCTCGGTGTTCAAGGCGTATTGGGTAAAAGGCTAAACACACAATTCGGGACTACCAGTGCGTCGCGTCATCTCCGTCTTCCATGAAACCCCTTTCTCATCATTTTTTGTTCTAGTTGTCCTGACGACCGTCTGGGTCGAACTTGTGTCTGACCCCCGTCTGTTCAAGATCCGCCAAAAGGTCAAGTCGCGCGACCATAAACTCCTTGCTGCTGTTGCGCTCTTTGTCGGTGCCTTTGCGGGACGGGCTCTCCTGGGCAAACTTGGTTCGCCGGCTGCGTTGGGTATCGCAACCGGTATCCGGATACTCATCACTATTTCTTGGGTCTTCATCGGTGGTAAAAAGACTCCTTGAAGATGGATCGCTAGATACCTGTTTCGCTTTCTCACCCGCTGCTTTGATCTTATATCCCATTGTGTCATATACTCCTGCATCTTTTGGATAGAGTGCGTTCAGCACATGCTTGTAGACGAAATCATCCTTATCTGTCGTAACTCCATGGCTTCTTCATGATTTGAGTGCTGCCCAACTATTTTTGTCGGCTAGAAAGATATCAAGAAATGAAAAACGTCGGATTGGGTGAACAATTTTACACTGCCACATTTGTTCTTGTTGCATGATCGGTAAGTGGCGCCAGACTTCAATCGAAGTCGTTGTCTCCACATCTTGAGAGATTCTACTGCTCACCTGGCGACTTTTCGTATCTACAGGGCGAGAATGGGCGTTCGATGGAGTAATCCCCTCCCTCGCTTTCGTAACAAAATCCATCCACATCCGCTGGATCTGATGCCATGGCCGACCATCACCGGTGCTGAGCGTGTGTTTTCGCCCAAGCCCACAGCGTCATAGTACTTAAGATCAGGCCATGGAAGATTTCGTAGGAGAAGCATCTTTCCACCGCACTATCGCGTTGATAAGACTGTCAATCGTTCAGTCCCATGGTCGCTTTCAAAGGCTCCATCATTGAACTCGCTAATCTTACCACCCAGTTCTTGTCCCCTCACAACCCATTTCCTTTCTCCCCAGGCTTCGATATCCAAAACGTGGCCTCCTTCGCGCAATCTCTTCCTGCCTACCCATGGGAGTACGGTACCGCCTCAGAAGCTCTTCTAGAACTCTACAACCCCAGCCTATCAGTATTTGGTCCCGCACCCTTTCCCATCCCGACCGTATCCAAAGAAAATGCAACAGCCTTGGCATACGCTGCTAGCAAGATTACTCTAGGGAAAGGCTTGAATAGTCTGTCGGTTAGTGATGGAACTGTGGGTGATCCGGCGAGTTTGGGTGTTAGTGCTGTACTACTTGGCAAGACGGAGTCGCAGTACGCGGAAGCTGCGAGACAGACGGCCGACTTTCTAATCAACTCTGCGCCTCGTTTTTGGAATGGCGCTATTTATCATCGGGACTCTGTGGAAGAACTATGGTACGCTAGTCTCTCCATTTCTTGTTTATGTAGTGAGTCTGACCGTCGTGTACTAGGGCGGATTTCGTCTACATGGCACCACCGTTCCTTGCCTATTACGCAGCCGACATCTCGAACGCGACCCTCCTATATGAGAGCGTAAAGCAATGCGGCTACTACCGCCAAGCCCTCCAGTCCAACACCACGATGCCATACAAAGGTGTTTGGGAACACATCATTGGTCTTGAACACCAAAACTCGGATACGGGAATATGGGCAACAGGAAACGGATGGGCCGCGGCCGGGATGACGCGAGTCCTCGCTACTGTCATGAAAGCTCCAATAGCACAAAATGCCGCCTGGAGATCGGAGGCGATTCACGATCTCACACAGTGGATTATGGAAATCCTCGAAGGTGCCGTTGCATCCTCTCTAGAAGGCGGCTTGGTGCGCAATTACCTCAACACCGGCGATTCATGGGCCGGCTACGGTTTTGGCGAGATCTCTGGAAGCTCGATGTTAGCTTCCGTAGTCTATCGTATGGCCGTTCTTCAACCACAGGCATGCGGGCAGAAGTATGTCAACTGGGCGAACAGAATTAGAGGAGTCCTTGGAGGGAAGGATAGTAATGGGCGGCCTCATGTGACTGAGGAGGGTGTTGCGACTCCGGCTGTTAATCCGCTTGTGTGGAGGGATACAATTCCTTTGAGGACAGGAAGTCCGGAGGGTCAGTCGTTTGTTGTGCTCATGTATACGGCATGGCGGGACTGCGTGTTTGCTGGCAAGTGTGTTTCGAATACAAGAGGAAGTCGAAGAATGCACAGTGGGCACTGGCATCTCAGGAGACTGAGACACACTGATTTTTTGGCTATTCATTAGCAAGGTGCTTGTACCTTCTCGTTAACATTATTATCTATTTATCGCTTGCCGCCTTAAGTGTCCTGCCAAAAGAAAATCCAATCTTCGATGCTTTGCAAAGTTCGAAGATGAATACACAGCCACTGTTTAGTCTGAACCATCATTATGCCCTCTCTTTGAGCTCCCCAGCTACTCAATTCTTGAGGTGGTGAAACGAGATAAAACATCTTTCCCCCTAATTGTCCCCATGTTTTCGACCGCGACTAGCAGAGCCGTGGCAAATGCGAGTACATTCCATGGAAAAACTTTCCAAGCACAAAACAGCAAGCATCTGTTACCACAAGAACCATTATAATGGACTTATCATCACCTGCCGAATTCCTTGGGAGATCCTTAGCGCGATCTTCGACGAAATCATCAGGCCTTCAGAGAAAATGTACCCTATTATTGCCACGATTATAACCGAGCATCAATGGGTTCTATCAAAGCTTTATGTCGCATTTATGGAACAGATACGACCTCGGTTCACTTGTTATGTCACGTTGCTTGGCGGGCTATGTACCCGGAACACCTGCATTGCATTCAATTCCCATCGATTCTCTCCCATCATTTGACATTCGCGAAGATGTTGAGATACGTCGATTTTTGCTTGTGATACGTACTAAACTCAACAGCTCACGAAATGTGATATTTTCGATCTCTGGACCCTTTAAATGAATATTCGATCAAGTGGGTGCTGACGTTCGGGAACGATGCCCGCCTTTATTGAGGAGTCAAAGCCTCGTGTCCAGCACAGCAGGTGAAATCCAGTCATATGTACAGCGGATATTGGTATATTATGAGCGAGGAGGCGAAAGACACCAAAATGGTCGAGAAATCATCTTCTGTTATTCGGTCAGCTAACGGAGATTCGTATGGTCTCGTTCTGACGTCGTGAGTTTACTGAGAAATATTGTTCGCGTTATAAATTTTGACGTTCTAGTTCTGGCATCTTTGGATAAAGACGGCGTGAAGAACCTTTACCTCCTGAGAAACACTTTTCGCGGTAACATTCACGGGAATACTGCCACTGATCTGGCAAAATATGCACCTTCAATCGCTAAAAACACGTCGATATTATAATAAACCTGTCAACAAACGTGAACGTACAGAGTTTTGCCTGTAGGGCATCGAAAACGGGACGTTCCAATTCGGTCTCGGGAAGACGTTCTTCAAGATCCTTATTCTTCAGACTATCAGACAAAGACTGTCTCTCTTGAGGAGTGA